GTACTGATGATGTAGAAATCATAAAAACTATGAATAATAATAACAACAAAATTGCTATTTTCCAAGATTGTTGAACAAAATTAAGATCATTATTAATTTATTGAAAATATTATATGGCTGAGCTAGTCATAGACATCCGTATTCCTTTCTATGGAGCTAGTGATATTCAGCTCTGTGTTCTAGCATCTGTTGTATTCTGAAAGGCCTGACCGGATGTGGCTTGTTCCAGGCTGTCTTATTCTGAAAGCCCTGACCGGATGTATTTAGCCGCTGCACTGCTAGCTTGTCGTGAATGACATCATGCGGTTCTCCGTGTGTCCGTCTGCGACATGACTCCTCCGCGGTGTTACGGTCAGTCAGGAGGTTTATTTAAACCCAACCGAGAAGCTTCACTCGGTAAGAACGACTCGTTCAACCCGGTGCATCCTCCGCGGTGATCCAGGCTGCTTTTATCTGAGCTAACTGTTAGCCTCCGCCAGGTGAAACGGCTCAGACTGTAGGAGGACAGAATGACCTGTTACTCTGCTGGCTGAAGGAAATGAAACATGAAAATGTTATATTGTGCTGATTAACGCTTGGTGAAAAGCTGCTGTCCGTCAGTCTGTTCTGTTGGTTGAATTAGTGTTTGCTCAGAGAGAAATATAATCTTTTCACCTAAAATTAAATGTATATTATTTTTACATGATGCTGGAAGTGTGCATCATTGCTAAATTAGCAATTATGGATAGTGTGATTATATTACCGTAATATTCTTTAAATCTTGTTTTTACTAGTATGTGAAACATTGATTAATTTGTTACATGTTAAACTGGAAACAGGTTTGTTCCTGCTGTCAGTTCTAACTTCATATTCGTCCTGTCATATTAATCTTTAACATTAATTCTCTTTTGTTTAATCTCAGTCTTTCTTTAATATTGTCCACAGTCGTTTGTTTAGAAACGGTCATTGTGCAGGTTTTCTTATGGTCTTTCAGAGTTGTTCTTTGGATTTTGGGTCCTTTTTTTTACCCTCTCAGATCAAACTGATTACTTGATCAAATGTTGGCATTTAAATGGCTAGATTTAACCTCAACAAAGCATTTACACACAGCTTTGGTTTTGTTTGATGATTTAATCTATAAATTATGGAGTGTAGGTGAAACAATTCCATCTGACAGGATCTCATTTTTAAAATTAACTCGCTTAACTTTCAACAAACATAAGAAATGTGCTTGAAAACTTGCATACACTTTCCCCCTAAAGAAACAGCAGTTAGACCATCATAAAATATTGCACATTGAACAAATATTATTATTAAATCATAATTTAAACTGATCATATGGCTTATTTAAAATAACTGAACTGTTACTTAAAAATTAAGACAGCTGCTAATTTGATTGATTAAATAAATCCTATTTAAAAAAGAATAGCTGCTAATTTTAATGTGACATAATTTCCTATTGTCATTTTGTAATAAACAACTGAGATGGATGAATAATCAGCTGTTGTGTTTATACAGCGGGTAACATAAGTATTGAACACGTGAAGAAAGGGAGGTGTAAAAAGGCATGGAAAGCCAAGACACCAGCTGAACTCTCTCAGTAATTAGAAAGCAAGCCTGCTCCTTGTCAGTGCAAGTTAATATCAGCTGGT